TTTGACTATGTCTGTGCATGGAAACTAAACAAGGCAGGCTTGGTTACAATCTGAATCGAAACAGGAAATCTAAAATCTATAGGCTAGACTGAGAAATTGGGGAAAAATTCCTGGTCAAAGAGAATGGCACTACTTCTTTATTATGTCAAGAAAACCACATGAATAGTAATCCACGCAATCAGCAGAAACTAAGCTATTCGAAACAGACTTTACTTTCCCCCCCCCCCTCTAAATGTTTGGATACATTTAGAAACAAGTCTTTCTGCTTTGGAAAGTGATACTGTAATACACTCAGCATGAGTATGTGAATCTGATTTGATATAGTGAAGATTACAACCTACTAAACTGAACGGTAGAGCATTTCTACCGGTAGTGCCAAACACACACACACACACTGTTCACATGAAATGCACATGTGAACAGTGTGTGTGTGTGTGTTTGTGTGTGTGTGTGTTTTGAAGTCCATGAAAGATAAAATAAATGCTGAAAGGCTTTCAAATATAGAAATGAAAATACACCTGAACAGCACTCAATTTTACCCACTGATATTTGTATTTTAAGACTGTAACTGGCCAGAAACAAGAGAGTTCCCCGGATGTAGTCTAACCGTTAGTTCACCCCTGAGGAAAGAAGGATGGGGGGGGGGAGCCAATTTTTTTAACGGACACAGATTCTAACAAAAGCGCCAGAACTTGGCTGTAAAAATCCAGATGTTCACTGAAGGCTTAGTGGTGGTCCTGATTTTTATTTTTATTTTGCAGAGACTCTATTACGGCAACCAAGGGAATCATGAAGTTAAAGAGCGTCGTTCTCTCTATGGAAGAATCATCGGCTACTTAGTAAATGCCGGGGAGAGGGGGAATAAAAACAAGGCGGAAAGAAAAGACTCCCGGAGGCTGCTGCCTCCTCCTCCACCGGCCTTTAAATCAAAGCGCTGCTCTTGAAAGAGGAGCCAAGCCTCGAGTCGGTCTCTTCTCGACAAGAAGGACAATCCTTCCAGGCTTTCCCATCCACATCGCTTCGGTCAGGCCGTGTTAGCTTTATTAGATTGACGGTCGAAAAGGCCGTGTTCTCCCATTTTTCGAATCTCCCCCACCCTCACTAAGCCCTGCCCACCAGGCCCGTCGCCCGTAGAGACCAAGCGCCCCTGTAAAAGCGAGCAGGCCCTCCGAGGCGCCTTTAGGAGCTTCCGTCCAGCCCCCCCCCCCTTCCTCCCCAGGCTTCCTCACCGTGCGGATATGCAACTCCAGAACGCAAACGAAACCCTTGCAGGGTGCCATGGGGCCGCCTTGACTCTCGGCTGCCAGATGACAAGAGCAGGCTGAAGAGGGAATGAGGGGCGGACGGGCGGGACCCTCCTGTTCCGGCCCTTCATAGGACGCGTTGCTTGGCTAGGCCCGGGACGCTCCAGACAGACTCTGTTGCCATAGCGCCGGAACGCTAATAGGGCCCCTGACTGTAGTAGGAGCGAGAAGGCGTGGCTAACGTATCCACGGGCAGGTTTAGAGGGCCGAGAAAACTGAAGAGGGCCAAGTGTCGTCACTTCCGGCTCCAATGGCAGGCGTTATTGCCGCCTACCTAGGTCCAGTGGCCGGATAAGGACGTTTTGTGGTTTGAATGGCTTTTAATTTGGCAGATGAGGAAGGAAAAGAAGCCTCTTCCCATTTTGACACACTGGATGGAGTATTTGAAAGTATAATTCTGAAAGTGTCCAGAATTATATAAAAAAAGATATCCAAATGACTGTTTCTGTGATTCAGCCTCCTAAAATATGTAGGCTTTTTAAAAATGGTTTGGCTTGTTTAGTCATCAGCCTTCTAATTGGCTAATTAATAGAGAAATCAGTGGAAAAGTTTTAAATTACAATTGAGACAACTGATGCTTCTTTAAAAGACTAAGTGAAGGAATATTGTGGTTCAAGTGTTGTAAGTGTTGTCAGAAGAGACTCTTAACACTTCCCAGCTTTATCTTTTAATTAGCAGACTATAAATGTCTTCAAAGATAAACACAGTTTCCTTTCATTAGAAAATAAACACTGCAGAATATAGTTGAACTAAACTGAGTAACCAGAAGCTTGTTTATGCCAAGGTAGCAATGCTAGTTGGAGACCTTATCGTAATTCAGGTGAAATGTAATTAAACATTAAATTGAAGCTTCAATGCATACAACATTGGAATCACCGAATTTCTCCCCCTCCCCCCAAGTATTATAGAAAGTCAGGGGTAATGGGGTAGAAAGTTAACATCCACCCTTCTAGAAGAATGAAATATTCTAGGAAATATTAAAAAAGACAGAATATTATGTTTCCCTGGATGAGAAATGGAGAAACATGATTTTTTGGGGGCTGGAAGCAGACTCACTCTTAATAGCCCCACCCTCATGAGCCCACAATAGATGTCAGCACTTAAGAGATAAAGAGATGGCTAGGTCTATTCATAAGCAAATAACCTCACCCAAGATCCAACAAAAGTAGGATTAGCCCTCAGCCATAATAGGAATTGCCCAAAACCCTCTTCATTACATCATCACCTAGCAAGATTCAACCAAGACTGCGACTCAAGACAACCTACAAAGCTGCCCCTTCATGGGCCCATGGGAGTCTGACAACCAATCAGTATACCTGCCCTTACACAAAAACAGGAAACTCTTAAGATCCCCAAAACCCATGTGGTCCTGTCCACTCTTAAACCATCTTTCCAAAGCCTCCCTGTTCCCCATGTCTTTCTCCTTACTTGGAACTGAACCCAGATGGACTTTTCTTTCAACACTGACAAAAAACGTAGATGAAGAAATAGAATTAGAGCTAACAGCAGTCTTAAAAAGCAGACTAGATGACTGTTTTTGGCTCATCGACATGACTTGTTTCATTTATAGTTTTGCATGGTCTTAATAGCAATTTANGGGTCAAACTATTCTCCATGAAGGCCAGACAAGGAAGAATAGATGGAAATTGATCAAGGAGAGATTCAACCTGGAAATAAGGAGAAATTTTCCTAACAATGAGAACAACCAACCAATGGAACAGAAGTTGCCTTCAAAAGTTGTGGGAACTCCATCACTGGAGGCTTTCAAGAAGAGACTGGACTGCCTTTTGTCAGAAATGGTGTAGGGTCTCCTTCTTGAGTAGGAAAGGGGTTGGACTAGAAGACCTACAAGGTCCCTTCCAACTCTGTTAATCTGAATCTATCTAAGATGATCAAAGCAGGCCTGGAGACTCAAACATACGATGGACGGTTGCAGCAACTGGGCCTGGATAGTCTAGTGAAGAGAAGGACCAGGGGAGACAGGAGAGCATCTTTCAGCATTTGAGGGGCTGCCATAGAGAGGAGGAAGGGGGGGTCAAACTATTCTCCATGAAGGCCAGACAAGGAAGAATGGATGGAAACTGACCAAGGAGAGATTCAACCTGGGAATAAGGAGGAACTTTCTGACCGTGAGAACAATCACCCCATGGAACAGAAGTTGCCTTCAAAAGTTGTGGGAACTCCATCACTGGAGGCTTTCAAGAAGAGACTGGACTGCCTTTTGTCAGAAATGATGTAGGGTCTCCTTCTTGGGTAGGGAAGGGGTTGGACTAGAAGACCTACAAGGTCCCTTTCAACTCTGTTAATCTGTTAATCTTCTCATCTGGCCAAGCCAAGTCAACAGGGGAAGCTGGAGTTTGCTTCCCAACTGTTTGATTCCTCTAAAGTTGCAAAATTGGGTGCGATTTACTCAACAACCTCCTTGCTGAATGATGGAGATTCTGGACTAGGTGTGCTAGATTGGACCTTGTTGGAAGCAGATACTAGGAAGCACTTCTGATGCTCCAGAAAAGTTTTCTGATGTTCCTGCAAAATCCAGAGGTATTAAAAAAAAAATCATTGCAAAGCCCTAATCACCAATTACTAAGAAAGATGATCTGGATCCCATATATTTTTACGAAGGGGGAAAAAAATATCTCCTGAGATATTCTGGGAAAGGACATAAAATCTTCTTCCATAAACTTCCTCCGGTCAATCTGTTCTTTGTCACAGAAGATTCCAGCAGGAGCAGCCAATAAAACTCCAGGTTTTGCAAAGCACTTTTGGTGCGTTTATTGCCAAGTTCAAGAGGTAGAAACCGTACATAAAATCCTGCAAAGTGGAGAACACATTTGGAATGGCAATGAATCGGGCTCCGTATAAAATGCTTGCCTCGTTTTCAATCCAGGAAGACAACAAGGAAGTATATTTTTAATTGCAAGCAAGACTCCGAAACCACAAATACGCCAAACAATCATATCTTTCTGGGAAATAATTTCAACCCAAGGTTACTTCTGCGAGGCTTCCCTATCTCTTCAGTTTAAGCAAACACAAACACAACATTGACTCTGAATCTGCCTTATCGCATTCCTCAAATTTGGCAGATAATTAAAGTTAATTATCCACTTACAAAAGCTTCATTTAGTGTCCATTCAAAGTTTTACAACGGCCCTGAAAAAAGTGACTTACGACCGTTTTTTCACCCTTACGACTATTGCAGCATCCCTGTGATCACGTGGTTTACATCCAGATGCTTGTCAATTGACTCATAGTTATGATGGTTGCAGTGTCCCTGGGGATGATCATGTGATCCCCTTTTGACAAGGGAAAACCAATGAGAAAGCCAGATATACCTAAGCCTGTTACTAACTTAATAACTGCAGTGATTCACTTAACAACGGTAGCAGGAAAGGTAAAGGTTCCCCTCATACATATGTGCTAATCGTTCCTGACTCTAGGGGGCGGTGCTCATCTCCGTTTCAAAGCTGAAGAGCCAGCACTGTCCAGAGACGTCTCCGTGGTCATGTGGCCGGCATGATTCAACGCCCAAGGAGCATGGAGCACTGTTCCCATCCCACCAAAGGTGGCTCCTATTTTTCTACTTGCATTTATTTATGTGCTTTCAAGCTGTTAGGTTGGCAGAAGCTGGGACGAGTAACGGGAGCTCACTCCGTTACGCGGCGCTAGGGATTCGAACCGCCGAACTGCCAACCTTTCTGATCGACAAGCTCGGCGTCTTAGCCACTGAGCCACCGCATCCCTATAGGAAAG